TCTATCTATCTATCTATCTATCTATCTATCTATCTATCTATCTATCTCTATGTCTATCTACCCCCCTTATATCTATCTACTTAGCCCTCTTTACTATCTCTCTATCTCTCTCTCTCTCCCCCCCCTCTCTATCTCTCTCTATCTCTATCTATCGATCTATTTATATCTATCACCTATCTATATCTATCTCTCTCTATCAATCTCTCTCTCTCTCTATTTCTCTATATCTCTATATCTGTATCTCTCTCTATTTTTATTTATCTATCTCTCCATCTGTCTCTCTCTCTCTGTCTCTCTGTATCTATCTATCTATCTATCTATCTATCTATCTATCTAATGACCTATCTATGTCTCTCTCTCTTTCTATCTATATTATCTCTATATCTCTGTCTATCTCTATCTCTCTATTATTAATCTGTCTCTCCCTGTTTCTCTCTCTGTCTCTATCTCTAACTCTCTCTCTCTGTGTATCCCTGTTTATCTCTTTCTATCTATCTATCTATCTATCTATCTATCTATCTATCTATCTATCTATCTCTATATATCTATATCGATCTATCTATCACCCATCTCTCTCTCTCTCTCTCTTATTGATCTATCTATCTATCTATCTATCTATCTATCTATCTATCTATCTATATCACCCATCTCTCTCTCTCTCTAATCTACAGGAGGGGAGGGGACTTTAAAAAGCCCCCCATCCCCTTATACCATTTTGGCCCAATTTAATCCCCCCAGTCCCCTGATATTTTGGGGGGGGGTAGGAAGGCACTCACTTCGGATGCACCAGGAGGAACCGGGCCCCACTTTTTCGGCCAGGGGAGGGGAGGGTTTTCCCTCACTCTCCCCCTCCCCCTCCACCTCACAGACACCCCCCCCTGGAAGGAAACGGGGCTTCGGCCGTTCGGTAGCGGCAGTTGGGGCCAAGGTGGGGTACTGTTACTGACTGGTACGATAAGTGATGGATGGACAATGGAATGTAGCCATGTGATAAGGTGCTGTGTGAAAAAAGTACTAGCTGGAGAAGCGGAGAAATGAGAGTAATATGGGAGAAACGAAAGTTATGGAGATAAGAGTAACTGGGAGGAGCTGAGAAGTAGGAGCATAAGATATCAGCTATGGCATAGGTTTGCATTAGCATAATTATGTAGAAAGCTTCTTTGTCCTGCTATGACGTACGCATGTAGCCTATAAAAGGAGTAACCACCTGCCTGTTTAATAGGTCCATGTGTTATGGGACGATTGCTAAAATTCTTACAAGGTCGCTTACAAGCAATTGATAATGAAATTAATAATACTCAAAAAACGGTCAGTTTTCTCACATCTGTTATTGTATCCAAAGATTCCGTTAAACAGCCTCTGCTGGAGTGGTCTTCTGACCAAGAGTCAGAGAATGAAATAGATACAAATGCCTCCTATGCTCCCAAAGGAGCCTTATTGGCTATGAGTGATGAAGAATCAGAAGGTGAGTGTTCCTCCTCGTACGAACTGATGCAACAGGATCTCAACAAACCGAAGGGTTTGTTGCCACCCTGTGAATCCATTTCAGAGGAAAAAGGACTTTACCTGGAGACGGCATCACAAAAAAAAAAAAAAAGGAGGAATTGTAGCTATTCCACCATTAAGCAGACATTGTCAAACACGGATACAGGGATGTTTGCACGTATCTAATGACCTTGTTTTAGCCAACTGCAAAATGTTTCAATATGATCACGAAACACTGACTGTTGTTACTTTCCATCCCAGGACACGCTAGCTCAGGATTATAAGCAAATTTGCAAGCTTGCAAACTATCACATACTTTGTTCTTTGTTCTTTGTTTATGATCTTCTTCCATATAAGGTAAAACTCTGCTACCCCCTGTGTGCTTCCCCTCCCATTTGAAATAGAACAATAAATGAGGTTTGTGCAGAGCACTCGGGGCTCCTCCTGCTGCGGCTGCTGCTGCCTGGGTCATTCCATCTGCCCCGGGTGTGAAGTGCTCCCTCCTATGAAAACAATCGGATGTCTGGTGTCTGTTATTGGTATTCACCCTTGCGAGGGTCCCTCTAAACTTCTTCCCTGCGGGGAATTCCATAGGCAGCGAAAGAACGCAGACGGAACAACGGACCGGTCGCTCGCTGCGACAACCTTCCCTGGGGGTTCCATGGACACCCCGTCTATTCTCTTCTCTTCTCTTCTCTTCTCTTCTCTTCTCTATTCTATTCTCTATTCTCTATTCTCTATTCTCTATTCTCTATTCTCTATTCTCTATTCTCTATTCTCTATTCTCTATTCTCTATTCTCTATTCTATTCTATTCTCTATTCTATTCTATTCTATTCTCTATGGTATTTTCTCTTCTCTATTCTCTTCTCTATTCTATTCTATTCTATTCTATTCTCTATTCTATTCTATTCTCTATTCTATTCTATTTTCTATTCTATTCGCTCTTCTCTTCTCTACAAAGAACGTAATATATCCCATTTTTTACTTTATTAGTAGATGGTGGTTATGCAGAGAACGTAATATATCCCATTTTTTACTTTATTAGTAGATGGTAGTTATGCAGAGAACGTAATATATCCCATTTTTTACTTTATTAGTAGATGGTGGTTATGCAGAGAACGTAATATATCCCATTTTTTACTTTATTAGTAGATGGTGGTTATGCAGAGAACGTAATATA